TATCACTGCAACATCCAACATCTCATCAAATATGCGCAGTAATCATTTTCTAAATGCGTGCTGTAAGTTATAGTACATTGAGTAACACAAAATACTCACATGTACAGTCAGTCGCGTAAGTATTCGTAACTTCTATGTCTATTGAAGAAATTTCTATAAATTAAATGACAAGTAGACTGCGAATCTTTATACAAAATAACATCTTCGCGAACATACCTAAAAAAATTGAACCTAAATAGGAATTTATTTTATTTTACAAATATTATAACATGAACTTTACTTTCAATCTTTTTTATATTCTTCCATATTGTTTGCATTTCGGAGGTTCTTGCATAAAGATCCGCAGTCCAATGATAAGTTTAATGTTTTCAAATCAATGTTTCGTTATAAATATATACACGTGTAAAGTTTATTCACGCACAATATTTACAACGAAAAATTTATTTGGAAACATTACATCTGTCATTTAGTTTGGACAAACTTCTTCATTGAAGATACAAGGTACGAATACTTACGGGACAACGAATACTTGTGTATAACATCCTAACGTTTAATGAATCTTGGTATTATTATAAAACCATAAAAAATATTGAAAATTGCAAATGATCCTAATTCGATGGCCAGAGACTGCTTATACTAACAGAATTAATACCAACGATGACAAATATCCCAAATCTCCATTACAGCAAACTTTTCTCCGACCCGTGGACGAATCCGCGGAAATTTGAAGAACCCAGCACGACGCGCGACGGGACGCCCGACATCGATCGGAAACGCGACGCGCGAACACGTGTCCGCGAACGTCCACGTGAAAAATCGAGATAACGTCCGCGCCTCGGGGACGTAGACGGAAGGGAAGACGGGGCGGGAGAGCGACGCGATGTCTCCTCAAACATTCACAACGCGCGTACGCGTCTGGTGCTCGACGCAGCCGCGAACACGTTCTCGCACACGCTCGCAAGTTTCTCGACGCTTTTTTTCGTCGTGCATCCCGCCGTTTCCGGTTATCGATGCATCGGGCTCGGCGTTCACGCGGAGGAGTTCGTCGGAGACGAGCATTGTTTTCCGCGCAGCTGCACACAGGCTCACACGTACGCGTGTCTCGGCGTTTTCCCTCCTGTCTCGCTTCCACTTTGGTCTTTTCACTCATTTCCTTCACCCGCCTCTCTCCCACGCGCCAGTTTTCCCAGTCGCGGTATTTTTCGCTTTTCCTCTTCGAAGGCTCGTTCGCGTCCTCTGTTTCGCAGGCGCATAAAAGATTATATACGAGTCGGTTGTCTTCCGCACGTCGCGGGAACGCGCGTGTGGTCCGGTCCGGGGCGGGAGCGCGCGCTCTCGCAGGAAAAAGAGAGAAGAGGAATTCAAAGTCGAAGGTTCCGCGGCTCGTTATTCATCGACGTTCGGCTCCGGCTGTCAGGAGGCATTATTTACGGGTTTCGCGGCGGAGCGAACTATTAATTCGGCCCGATGCAGGTGGTAAATGTGCGCCGACGTTTCAGGGCGGTTTCTACGCCCGCGAAAATCGTTCTCGGGACCGCGTCGCACGGTGCAGCGAACATATTGAGGAACGTGTTAGACGCTGCTAGTATTTGTTTCGAAATATACAGTGGGCAAAGAAAAAAATTGTCACGCTCGCTTTAATCCATTACGGACGGATGAGTTTTACGCGTCCCATGATTGTCGATCTCTTGTTAAATAACACGAATCGATCAATTAGAACCTTTTCTTTTAGCGGAGTTTTCTTAAATGGCATTAGATTCAATCATTTACACCGTTAAGAGGCGAAATAAACAGTGAATTGTTGATAGGGAAATGAATATGACTATACACATTTATCGATTTTTGAACTTGCTAAGTAGTGCCCGACTTTTCCTAAAAAGAAAATGGAAGTAAGACCATTTTAGTGTTATTGTATGCATACATTTTCTTTTATACTCGCCCAGGTGTGAGAAGTTGCCAGACAGTTGTAGCAATCAGATTGGTTGTAGACCATTTCATTGTATTCTAACCCCAATAGATATACATTGATAATAGAATTAAAGTAGAGGTCAGAACTGTACATAATTGATGTGTGAAATTACAGAGGGTTAAATGAAACTCTTTTAAAATTCATGAAAAATTAATATAATGTGACATAAATAAAGAATTTAATTCATTACGCATTACTAATAATATTATAACAGTTGTCAAAGTAAGACTTGAAATCGTCGATCCACAAAACCAAATGGTAACTATCACAGTGGTAAAGTTTATTTTTTTCTATTTTTGTGGGTAACAAACTACACGAGATATTTTCAAAATATTTCTAAAAGACGTATAAGTGGTCAGATAAAATGTGCGAATGTATGCGCTAATGATACATTTACAGATTTAACGACACCGTCATTGCAATCTTCTACTGAGAAGCAGTTTCGAATTTATTAATTACGTTAGACAATAAGTGAATATACATACACTATGAATGTAAATATAATAAACAGCAAAACTATATTAGTCCAGTCGAAGAACTGAGATCTGCGTAATGAGATCTCCCTTTTTTTATATGTTTTGAATCGATGTATACCTATAGAGTAATTAGTGCGATTCATATATGACGTTAACTAGATACGACATGCTAAATACGTGAATGGTTATATATTATTATTTATTTACTTCGACGAGCAATGGCACGTTCGATTCATTGAAGAAATCTATACATCTATACAAAATGTAGTAAAAAAAATTAAATCTCTAATTAGTCGTTTATTTTGATTTGCAAGACTCTACCTAATTCGTAATATTGCAGAACACAGGTGTTTTTCTTATAGTATCAGCAGTATGCAAAGCTTACGTAAATCCGAAAAAGATGCGGTAATAAAAGAATCATTTACAATCTTAAATAAAAACAGGATTAACGTATAACCAGCTGTGAATCTACATATACACATACATGTATGTTTGTAGCATTGGGTAGCAATCTTAGACTACAACGCAGCATAGGGTGACCCACTTTATATGCTGCAATCTTCAAGAATCTACATTGTGTCTTCTTCGATAACAATTTATATTTAGACAAGAATGGAGACCAATGCTTTTCCAATTGCGGTCATATCTGTAATCTGTGCAAGAGTATTCTATCAAAAACAGGCAATTTTAATATCATCGGCATTCAGATTAGTGGAAAGAGCTGTTACTTACAGAATTTGTACGAAATTCTCAATAGCTACCAAAATACCACACTGTACTTCAATATCTGAGAACTTTGAAATCACAAAATACATCCTTCCATTAAAATCTATCATAGAAATAACTAAAAATTTGATTTAAAATAATGACATTGACCGCTCAATCTTCTTCGTAGTTCTACCCAAAAGGAAACTAAATTATCACAATAGTATATCTCCTTTGTAACTTTATATTATTTGTAAGCAATGAAAGTTTCTGTTAAAAATAATAAAAATATTAAAATGATCTCCTTTTCATCGGAGACTCAGTATAATTGTTTGAAAATATTACTATTCTATGAATATTATTTAACAAAGATTGGACATCACTTGTTCGTTGATCGAAACTATAGGGTCTGCTTTATTAGACATTTAAGTACGATTGATCTGAATTATGATTAATACTTCTCAGCGTTCAGTAGTGTGTAGTGCATTTAATCAGAAGTAAATGTCTATAAATTATTAGTTCAATAAATCTGAAATTTTCACGTATAAAAGCTTCATGTGAAAGGTAATACATAAATTTCGTCTTTCGTTTCCGCCCACTCGGTTTGCGCAGTAAATTACTGGAATTAAAAATTCCCTTGATATGGCAGATTACAATGAATTATGTGAATTCAGTTCAGATACGGAGCTTTCCCCCAAACGAAATTGTTTCAACGTCCAGAGAATTGACTGTTTTGAAGATTAATACACAGAGATGAATTTTTAGATTTAGAGCTTCATGGACTAGCCATGCGCGTCACTATATCTGTGTATATCGTTCACACTGCATAATTTTTATTCATAGAAGGTTATTTGTTTCTTATGATTAATTAACATTAATATTGTATTAATTCTTGAGTGTTTACACAAGTATGTACATAAATGATATTGTCTATGTATTATTTAACCCTTTGACTGTGAAAGGCGTATACATACCTCCTCAAGGAATGGGCTCAGAGAAATGTTTATATTCGTTACATCAATTAAAAAAAATATATCAGCTTATAGGGGATGATCACGAAACTTTTTTATATTTACAGTTTATTCATAGGATGCATAGTTTCGAAAATAAAAATTGAAAAGTTCGAAGTTCGTTGGAAAAATTGAATTTCAGGAAAAAGGTCTTCTAAGTTTTCAATTTTTATCTCTGAAACTAAACGTCCTATGAATGAACTGTAAATATAAAAAAGTTCCATCTTATCATTCCGTATAAGGTGATATTTTTTGAAAATTCACACCTCTTAGAATTTTCAGCAAAAATCGTCCAGCGGTCAAAGGGTTTATTATTCTAGAATGTGGTAAGCACAACCCTAACAAATGTTAAATTGAATTTTCATTGATCTTAATCTCCAATCTCACTCCAATAAAATATGAATCTACCACACAACAGAGTTTTACTTGCGTCCCACTTTGGAAAAATCACAAATGCGGTGGTGTATCGAAATTAATGACCGCTAGTATAAAGATTTATAATTGGTGATTATATGTTACATAAGTTTTTGTGTTGTTTTGAAAACATATTCGGCCTACAGAGGGTTAATGCGGCCCGTGTTCTAGCATGCCTCGATTGATTACAGTGAAAGCGTTGGCGGAGGCTGAGCGATTTTCGCAGGAAGTATCGGAAGGCCGGAAAGGCGGGCATGCTTTGAAATGCGAAAGACGTATCCCACGGCCACGGGGAGTACTCTCTCGAGGCGGTAGCTCTCGGAGTACCGTTGATCTAATAACGGGACAAACGTCGCGAGAATCGCGTCCCGGACGGGATTTCATTTCCTCTCCCGTAGGATGAGCGGCCGCGTCAACGGTGGGAGCGAGACAGAGGGGAAAGAGAGGGAAGATCGATCCCACCGTGCAAACCCGTCTTTCGATAGCGTCGCCTCTAGCTAGTTGTCGAACAAAGCGTCCCGCCGCACCGTGCAAGAATTCGCTCGACAGCCGCTTAGACCGTGAAGCGTGCGTTGTGTAACGGGGGCGGCTCCTCGGGATTCATCGTGAAACTTTCAGTTACATACTCTACCTTTTGCAACAGTTTAAGTAATTACTCGACACCAAGAAAACGGATTCTTACATATCCCATTTGAAAAGAAAACCTAGTGCTCTAATCAACCTGTACGGTAATTGAAACTTCTACAGTTTATCATAGCGAACTGCAAGTGAAAAAAGTACCGAGATAGTATCGAGATAGTACGAAACGAGTACAATAAGAAATATGTAATGTTTTGGGACTCCATTGTTTTATCAAACCTATTGAGAATTCTTCAATGAATCAAGATGTTTCTTTTTATTAATTAGCATTTGAAAGCTCATGTGAGATTTATTACAGCTATACAACTTTCAAATCCTATAAAGTAATTATATAATGCAATAATAATATATGAGATTACAAAACGCTTTTATATTGGGTTGATTGGAAAATCCATGTCTGTTTTGGAAGGTGGTAAATACAGGTCTGAATATATCGAAATGATTGAAAGCACATAACATGTATAAATCCCTAAAAAGATTGGAAAGATTGTGGAACAACATGGTACCTATGTAATTCCATAAACATATATCAAAATTCAAATGTGCCTTTGAATTTTTCTTAAAAATTGGCAGGAACATTCTGGACAACATTTTGGACAATAATTACGTTTTACAGTATTTATATTACATATTTCTCAATAAAATTTATACATGTACAAATTGCGCGATTGTAGTTTCTATACTTACATATAGGTAGGTACAATTTAAAGATATCATCCTAAAGAAAAAAGATATCCTATAAATAATCCTAATCTTTACATATCTTTATATCCTATAAAGAAAAAAAAACTTGAAGAATAAATCAGCCAAGAACCTTATGCCATATGATATTGGTATCGCTGAAAATGTGTTGACGGATAAAAGATACGACAAAATACAGGTAATGATTAATTAAGGGATGAAACTATCTACCAAAGCTTAAACTTCAGTTACAATGTTTAAAGATAAATATAGATTGACTTGTATTTGCAAACTCTATAAATCTGCAAGGTTTTATAAAAAACAGAAATTAAAGTTTCTCTTTTAAAGTTCTTCGTTAGATTACAAAAAGACGTTTTTTTTTTATACTTGTCCCAGAATCAAAGAGACTTATTGACTCAATAGTACCACACCTTTTGACTAATTTTTGTGAAACTCCATCGTATATTGGGTGGAACCTTGAATTCTGTCGTTTTGTTTTTTTTTTTGGAGTTCCAAATTACTTGAAGGTCGAAACAATCTAACGATTCCCGAGTACCACACCTAACTTTTGACTAATTTTTGTGAAACTGCATCGTTCATTAGGTGGAACCTTGAATTCTTTAATTTTGGTTTTTTTGGAGTTCCAAATTACTTGAAGGTCGAAACAATCTGACGAACCCCAAAGCGCGTCAGGATTTCAGGATACATTCACGCGAATAACGCATTAGAAGGACTCGTGATAGGCGGGATGCAGCGGCTGGGTTTCACGGATGAACGAGGGCGCCGGGCGTCGCACCGCCGGAAGTGCGTCTAATGCATCCGTCTGGGGTCACGCGTCATCTCGCTTCCGGCACGGCCATTACCTTCGGTAAAACGTTTCGCAGAGGGGAACCTCCACTTGCGGCCACCACGTCTGCTCTCTTCTCTTGCTTCTCGACGATGATTCAGGGTCTGACGCTTCATTCTGCATTTCGCCAAGTCGCAGTAGGTCAGAAATATTCATAAGGTGGTTGGAGTTTGGTTGGTCGATTCATAGACTGTGGTTAGAAAATGGTGGAGTTAATTTGTGCCAGCACCGTAGCTGAACAGTTTCTTTCAATGTGATAATTTGCAATCCTAATTTTCTAGTAATCGGCATTTTCAATGATAATTTTGTGTACTGTTGGGATTTTCACAGTTACGGGTAACAATTAAAGTAGAAAATAGCTATCAAGGGAAATATAAGATCGATGTGTACGTAGTTTATTATCAACTTTCGAACAGATTAATGAAAATGATGAAGAGTAAAATGGAAATGAAAAAAGAGTATATTTGTCGTATTATGCTGTAGTAGTTGAACTAAGGCAGAAAGTACAGCAATAATGGCTACAAAAAATTGTTAATTATACGGGAAGAAGATAATTAGTGTCAACGATGGTTTAAATAAATTTTAATTTGGGAACTACACGTTTATGATGAGTCTTGCGTAGAAAGATCAGAAAGTTCGATGAAGATCAGTTACAAGTTACGAGTCGTAGTAGAACAAATTCCCATTGTAACTATCGAAAAATCTGCAATGAACTTCAATCGATTACTACCACTATTTGTCGTCACCTGACAGTCGCCAGAAAAGTTTCAAAATTAGAACAGTGAGGGGGAACAAAGAGTGAATTTGTACTCGACTCTTCTTTCTCAATTTAGAGACGAACCATGATTGAATAAATGGTCACTGATGCTGAGAAGTGGATATTATTGTTTCTAAGTAGCCTTCTCTGAAATCCAGTATTTTAGGACATTAAATTTTTCGATTAATAATTTTAAAAACCAGCATGAGGTCGCCTATAGTTCGACGCTGCTTAAGAATGAGTATTTGCATAGTCCACAGCATGTTGTCATAAATGCGACATGCCATATCCATAGGTCTACCGATCTTATAAGAGACGTACCTTAAGAAATTGGTTGAACACTCTCAATCATTTCACTATGACAAATTTGTAGTGGATTCCAAATATGAGAAGCATATTCGAGATGATTTTAGTAATTTCACATATTATTGACATTTCTACCGAATTTAAATCCTTTGCGGGATTTAACACGGCTTGATAGAAATTTGGTTGAGATTTAAAAGCGCTCTACCGAAATTCACATCGCGCCCCAAGTACGTGCAATTTCAATCAACGAACCCGCTGCTACCTTTCAGTTTCCACATTATCGCGCTTTGGTCGAAGTTCGAATTTTCCACGTAACGCGAGCGGCAAAGGGAACCGTGTCTAAACTGGCCCTCTTGTAAATTTTTCACGTTCGCCGACGCAATCAAGCCCGCCCGCCGGCCTTCCATTACCGGGAACAGCAAACACCACTGTTTATGCATTCCGAATAGGGGAACCAACGGGGAGAAATTAAAATTCATCGTTCGACCCCGAAGATATCGATTAGTTCCCGGACTCTCGCGCTCAAACGAAGCTCCTGCGATACGCGGTTCCTCCTCATCGACGCAAAACCACTTTGATAAAGTAGACGTCAATTTTATTGATTCCGAAAAAATCCAGGAACACAATATTTTACAGTAATGTAGTAATGTTACGACTCTTCCAGAAACAAAGATCGTAGGAAAAAGGTGAACATATAATTGTTAGGGGTTTGGGAAAAATCGAATAGGGTTGTAATAACTAATAATCTTTATTTATAAAGAAGAGAGACAAAGAGATCAGGTGTATCGAGATGTCGTACAGCGGCACACTCGGTGATCTTTTTATTGATATATATGTATATGTAAGGATCTCAATAATAATAATCAGTGACAGCCTGAGTCAAGGTACAATGATGTTGAATCTCTTTAAAGAACAAAAATTGTGCAATGAAAATTAAAGGGTAATCTATGGTAACTTAGGTAACAACCCATAAAACAATCACCACTAGGAATCTATTTCGATGCAATTATGCAATTATGGATACTTCAGTTGATCGAAAGAAAAAATCTGATTCCTTAATTGTTTACAAGATATTTAAGAGCAACATTAATCGCAGTTCAGTAGTTGACAAGTTCCATTTTCTCATTTCTTGATCATTACATTTCTTGTTTAACAGTCTATCTGTATACAGTATCATTATTCTTAGATATTTAAAGGCTCGTCTCCTTTGTAATAAGTAATAACAATAATAAAGACACTTGTAGACAAAGCTGCATACACTATGCCGCAATATTAAAAGGTGAAGATATATTTGTAAATTGTTCACAATCCGATAGAAATTATCGACATTGTCGACGACGTTACTCGAGATATCGTTAAAAGGAAAGAGAACATCGTTCTACTTTTTGCAACCACTTCTGTTCTAAAGTCTTGTTTTGGTTTTGCACAAGATCCACGTGACTCGACGAAATTTCTTAGCTTGTCACCGTGTGGACCGCGAGTAAATGATCAGACCTCGAGAATAAGTTTGCGAGTCGTAATGGATGAGAAGGAAAGCAAAGAATCCCAAAGTTCATCGAGCAAGTGGGACTCCATGGGATCGGAGAGAGTGGAATGGTGGCCGCGTTGAAAAAAGATCCACTCGAAGGAGCCAGCCAATGGGACAAGAGCCGCTTTACCTTACGAGATTGGTCGGCGCATTGTTTTAAGGGAGGCTCGACGCATGCGTGATCCCATGCGTGGGAGGATCGACCACAGTCCACGGCCCACGCTCCTCGAGGATCCTAACATCTCGATCCCAACAGATCCCACTAGCGTCCTGAGTCCCAAGTTCCTCGGTTGGGTTCCACACTTTATTAGCACTTACGCGTTGGACATACACATTTGGTTCTGATAAGCTCAAGTGATCTTCTGATACGTTTTAAAAATATTATATTGGCTTGTCCAGGAAGTTCGTTGCAATTTTTAAGAAAAATTCAAAGGCACGTTTGAATTTTGTTTTACAACCTTTCAACTTTTAAGGGATGTATACATGTTATTTGTTTTCAACCATTCCGATATATTCAGATCTGTACCACCTACTATAAATCAATATAGACTTTCCAGACAACTTGATGCAACAAATAGTTTAGGTCTAACACATTTAAGTCAAAAGAAGAGGTTTCTCTTCTTGGAAGAAGGAAATTTAAATCAACACTTATTGTAAGAAACTTTTACTTAGATTTATAAATTCTGAGAATGATCACGAGAAAGCTTTGGGAATTTGTTATATTATACGAGCCTTTTCTCAATCTTTAAATTATGATTAACTAATTACAAGCATACATAAATTAACATAGTCTAACGAAAAGATTATATTTATATTATTATGTGTCTAATTTTATATTATGTGTATAATTAGTCTTCCCCGAAGTAAAATGTTTGATCTCTCATCTCGTA